AGCTTAAAATATCATCTTGTTGTGATGTTGGGTGCCAGAATCGACGAAGTAGAAATTTGATCTCATTTCTGCTGCCACTGCCAGACAAAAAAAACTGACAACAGCTGTGGTTAAACACGATAAAACGAGCAGACTGGACAGAAACGATCGTCAAAAATGCTCGCGTTTGCAGCGCACACTTCTTATCAGAAAAGGTTCAATAAAGTATTGTCTTTTGTTGTTATGGCACATTTATAAAAGATACCTAAATGTCCTAATTGAACTATGGCCTAATCCTGGTTTAACCTAAGCCCTGTCTGTGAAACCAGGCCAGATCTTTAATCACTGAGGCAACTTGTATGTTAAATAAACATAAACACTGCAAGCCTTAGTCACACCAGATATAATATAATGTATACAATTTTTGCATTTATGATTTTTAATTTAGTAATTATTTAAAATAGAGTGACTGGTCACCGTCATCTTTTGTTGATCCTGGATCAACATAACTGCCCAAAAATATAGACTTAACCCAATCCCTACCCCTAAACCTAACACTACCCATAATTTATTCCTAAAAATAGTGTGAAATGATAGCTGATTAACAAGGGTGTAGAAGCACCTAACCCTGATTGTAAGCCTAAAACAGATATTTCCTGAGAAGTTATCCCTCAATTCTGATTGGTTGATAGGAATGTTGTTCCAGGATTAACAAGGATGCTGATCCAGGAACATGTTGTACTTGGTGAAATCACGCTCACCTAGAGTGACTATATGTCCACTTTTTCCCAGACATGTTCTGTCCAGGATTTCTAAATTGTCTGAGTTTTAGTTTTGCTATTGGCTCTATACAGTCTTCATACATTATATACAGTATATATGGATATTTGCATTGCTTTGACTGTTCTCTGTAGATCCAACCTTCCCGCACGCCACGATTGGTTGATCATGTACAATGCTTGCATGCTATTGATCAAACTACTTTTCAGTCATTACATGTATAACGTATGAAAACAACTGGAAAACAAAGCCAAAGCCTTGACATTTTAGATCATTTATAACTCACAGCCAGGACATGCCCAGGAAAAAGAGGATGTATGCTCAAACTAAACAGATGAATGCCATAATTAAACACTTAAACATTGTTTACCTGTGATCCGATAGGCCATACAAGGTCCCACAGAGATGAATACCATCCCAGCCACGGTGATCATCAGAAGCTGGAACTCTGCCATACCTATGAAACAAAGATAGAAAACGCAATACTTTCAGATTCTACTTGTTATTCTGCCTGCAATAAACACTTCAAGATGTCCAACTAAACTACCATTAATAGATTTTCTATGTAATTTCAGAACAAGTCTGCGGCACCCACTGAGATTTGCGTCCTCTCTACTGTTAGCGCTGTATAGTTGTATAGTATACTGTATAGTTGTTGCAGATATGATCTGTTTCCTTGTGAGATGTGACTGAGATCAAGAGGTTTTGACACACCAAGGGTGTGTCTAGATGCAGATCACAAGTCACCATTATTATGCAAATCATTAGTGTGTGTTTTTTTAAGATAGTTATATTAGAATGCCACAGTCCAGAGTTTTGGTGTGGCATCAGGGTAAATAAATCAAGTCAAATGAAATTACATGAACTGGATAAGAATTGGGAGGTTTAGAGTTTATACACAGAACCTTTTCAGAGCTAAAACCATTGAATTAGTATGCCATGTATTTCATCAAGATAAAAAAGTTGCATATGGACAGCTAACTGAAGATATCTTGCAAGCATTTTTTTTTTAATTCACCCTTGCCATCTCATGTTTCCTCTTTTGTTCATGAACAGTATCCCCATTGTGGTCACCTTTTATATAATTGCATTTGTGCAACTGTAAAGATCACATAAGAGCACAAACATTTCTTTTGCAGATATACTCACACTATGTTTCTCTTTCAGTCATGTGTACAAGATTGTGAGAAATATGTAAAGAAAAAAATCTATTTAGCCAAAATAGTATGAACTCCCTCTCATTTTATCTTGATTGGTTTTTACAAACTGAGGCATGGCTGTATTTAATCTGGAATATTACTACATTTTTACCTACAAGTCAATACATAAAAGCATAAGACTGCATACTCACCAGCAGAGGACACTTTAACATGCGCTGACTGTTACTCCATTGGTCCTATACTTGCAAAAAATCAGTTCACGTGTATCTACTTTGGACACATCCGAGAATCTGAGAATAAAAATGGATTTAATTTGTGAGGCCAATCACTAAAGCATGAAGTGAAAATCAGTTAAGTTCATTTTTATTGTACATTTTTTGTTTAAATGTAAACAATCACAAAAAAATTCCTACAGAGATGGTGAGAGCTATAAGTGACATTATAGTCACCACTTCCTTATTTAGATAAGAGCAGGGTTCCCACTCTTTCATGAACACCAGATTCAAGGACTTTCAAGGACTTTTTAAAGCACCATTTATTTTATATCAAGCACCTATCAAATTCACACCCCAGCATATGCAGTGTCATGAAAGACCTTACATTACTTAACATTTCACTTAAACTTAACATTTACATAAAACATTTTAGAGTAATAATGTTTTGAATGTGTAGGTTTCATAAATTTAGACTGTTTTGAGCAGTTGTGTTCAAAGGAATTTAATGAAATCCATTGAAGTCAGTACTTGCAATATTCAAATACAATTTCTAAAATATTGACAAAATATGCATCAAACTGGTTTTTGCTGTAGTTCTTGTACAAGATTTAAATCTGAAAGAATTTCTCGATTTTTAAATGAATAAAAAGTGGTTAAATGTTGTAATACAACTCATCAGCTCATTAGTGGAGACTGCAAGACCTGAAGTGGGTGTGTCAGATATAGGGAGACGTACAAAATCTGCAGTGCTGGGGGTACTTCATGGAGAGGTTTGAGAACCACTGACCTAGAGGAATGCAGCTGCTCAAAACCTCAGTATTTTTTTTTTATATTTCATGAACAGTTTAAACCTTGTACATGTGCAAATCTGCAAAACAAATATAAAGAAAAGAAATCAAAAATAGGACTTTCTATTTGCTTTTAAACTGTAAACGCTTTTCACTAAGCTGTTTTTCTCAGTCTGAGTTAAATCTCTTTTTTAAATTTCATCCGTAAAAGAAAACCTGCCTAATAATTCTGCACACCTTAATAAGGAGTTTTTCATTTCCAGCCTTCATGGACAATTATATATCACTTCTAAATGATTAAATACAAAAATAATTGTAAAAAATAATTTCCAAATGCTTGGAAAAAAAATATGATCAGAATATCAACGTGCCTAATAATTACGCGCACACTGTAAGATGTGCTCCCTTTAGCGAAATCGAAAGTGAAAGTGAACAGCAAGCGCTCATTCAAATGTGATTTCAATACCCCGCATATTGATAGCGGCTCTCTGATGTGAGAAAATTATGGGGTTAAAGCAAAAATAATCTTTTGACTGAAAATTTTTCCTCGGCCAAACCCCATTCCACAGCCATACCCGATTTTTTCCAGCTGTGGTGGCAGGACTATTTCTCATGGACCACACTCCCTCCCCACCCAAGAATCACGTGCACTCAGAATTGAATTTGTTTAAACTAAAAAAGACAAGTAAATAGTAAATAATAAAATAAGAACAAATAAATTAATGACAATCAATAGCACAAACAAAAATAATAACAATAAATGTTTTCAGTTTGGTCTAACTATAATCTACTCAATTGTAAGATAACACTGGATAGTCTTCTTCACTGTATGATGAAAGACAGCAGCAGGTTTATTTAGGCTGCTGTCTCTTTAAGACCTCATGCACGGATCTAATATACTGATACACATGGCTCTATGCTTACTTTTCTTTTTAGGAGCGCTTGTACTTTTTTTTTTTTTACCTTTGCAATGGCATCCTTTTCATCTGTCTAATTCAAGAAATCAGTGGTTAAGTTGTATTTGCAACACTGTTCCAGAACACTTTTTTTGGATTTTTGAACAGCATTTTATGGAGGACTGTTTCCTGAACATGCAGAGTAGCCTACAATGCGTCTGTGCACAAAGGCTGTTTCTATAAAGTGGGGCAGTTCCAACTTTGCAAGGACAGTCTGGTGCTTCTGACTCACAGCCTGTAAAGTATGTTTTTTATATTTAAAGAATTTGCCACTGACGATT